TTAGCTGCCTCGTGCACACCCCCCACTGGGGATGTGCCCTCAACCAAGGTACATGCCCCTGACCAGAATCGAACCCGGAATCCTTCAGTCCGCAGGCCGACGCTCTATCCACTGAGCCACACCGGTTAGGGCTATTTTCCTCTTTTTTAAAAAAATATTTTTATTTATTTCAGAGAGGAAGGGAGGGAGAGATAGAAACAATGATGAGAGAGAATTATTGATCGGCTGCTTCCTGCATGCCCCACTCCCCACCCCAGTATGGATCCAGCCGCAACCCTGACATGTGCCCCTGATGGGAATCGAACCCAGGACCCTTCATTCCAAAGGCTGACGCTCTGTCCACTGAGCCAGACCAGCCAGGCGGCCGTTACTCTCACAGCGTTCAGATGCAAAGGGGATAAGGCGGGAAGCCCGGCCCACCAATGCGCTCACGTAATCACTTACTCAGTAAGACACACTAGCTGCCTGCAAAGTGCCCGGCATATTCCAGAGAGCTGGGCAGACAGGCTGCAGTCCTCAGGCCGCATGTGACAGATGCACAATGAAGCAGGCGGGGAGGGCACCGTCGGGCAGAGGTTTGCAGGAGAGGGAGCAGGCTATACAGACAGGAGGGAAGGGCCCCAGCTCTGGGCCGAAGGAGCCATAGGAGCAAAGGCCCGGGTCTGGGTTCAGCAAAGGAGAGGAGGGGCCCTGACGCCCTCCAGGAAGCTGGCCAGGCTGTGGCTCTCCCTCAGGGGGAGGTGGGAGCAGGAATTGGAGTTTCCCTTCCGCGTGAGGTTCCTGTGACTGCGTCGCATATCACTACTAACTTAGTGCTAAACGTCTTAGCTCTCGGAGGTCGGGAATCTGAAGTGGGTTCCTCTGGGCGGAAATCAAGCTTCCGGCAGGACTGGCTCCGCTGGAGGCTGTGGGCTTCAGTGCCCACCCTGCCTTCTGAGCGAAACCTGCCTCATACAAGGACCCCGTGACCACATTGAGGGCCCATTGGGCTCACCCAGGGCTCCCTCCCCTCTCAGGATAAACAATCACACCGCGGTGCCTCTTGCCGCGTACGGTTATTTGTTCGTAGGCTCCTGCGTTAGGATGTGGATGTCGTCGTCAGGAGATGTCCTGGTCCTGCCTCCCTCACTGAGGACCGATGTCTGAGTGAGAAGCATGGAGCTGGGTCGCTCTTCTGCTCGTCAGTGTCTGGGAGGTGGTGATGGTTTCTGGATGCTCTTGGCTCCCCGTGTGGTTATAGGATTGGGGGGTGGGGAAGAGTGAAGTCTCACCTGTGTTTTGATGTCGTGAGCTAAAAGTAGTTAGTGACACGCTCTCCTGGATGTAAAAATGCTTGAAGATGAGTGTGCAGCCCTCTGAGCAGTGGGGAGCGGGCGGGGAGCGGGGAGAAGGGCCAGGCATGCCTCTGAGCAGAGCTCCGTGCTCCGTGTCAGTGCGTGGGGAAGCTGGGCAGTGGTGGGACTCCCACGTGCTCACATATTAATGCCTGTGTGTCCCCTCTTACAGAGGTCAAGAGGCTGCCGTTGTGGGCACAGTGGGAGCTACTGAGGAGGGGCAAGGGGCACAGAGCTCGTCGAGGTGCCTGGCGCTCGGAGGCGGAGTGAAGACAACCCCCCGCCGGCAGGTGTCGGGCGCAGCACCCCTGGGTGGGACTGGCCTCCGCCACAGTGCCCAGCGGGACTGGAAGTCCATCGCCTGCACGTGAAGCTGGAGGAGCGTCGCAGGTTGAAGAGGGTGAGAAGCTGACGCAGATTGCCCGGGCTCTGGGGCTGGCCACCTCCACAGTCGCCTCGATCCGTGTCAACAAAGACAAGATCCGGGCCAATTGTCAGGCCTCGGCGCCCGTCAGCGCCAAGCAGCTGACCCGCTGCCGGGCGTGGTGATGGGGCAGATGGAGCGCTGGCTGAGCCTGTGGATCAAGGGGCAGAGACGGTGGCACCTGCCCGTCAGCACGCTGCTCGTCCAGGCCCAGGCGCGACGGCTCTTGGCCCAGCTGCAGCAGGAGCAGGGCGATGACGCCCAGGCTGAGACCTTTGGTGCCAGCAATGGCTGGTTTGCCCGTTTCAAGTCACGCCGCCACGTGCTGCTCACGGGTGAGCCGGCGGTGGCCGACGCCCAGGCCGCTGCCTGCTACCCCTCCGTGCTGCGCCGCATCCTGGAGGAGGGCTGCTCCTCCCGTAGCAAGTCTTCGACGTGGACGAGACGGGCCTTTTCTGGAAGCAGCTGCCCGAGCGCATGCTGCTGGCGCTGGAGGGGGCAGCCAGGCCCGGGCCCAAGGCCCCTAAGGACCACCTGACCCTGCTGCTGGGGGCCACGCAGCTGGTGACTTCAGGCTGAAGCTGCTGCTGGTGTGCCCCTCCGGGAACCCGTGCGCCCTCAAGGGCTGCTGCAAGGCCGGCCTCCTGTGGTCTGGCGCTCCAACCTCAGCGACTGGCTGGCACCCAGCATCTTCCAGGACTGGCTCACCGGCTGCTTCC